GAACTGTAGATTTCAAATTTGTATTCATTGTTCAACACAATCACCACCTTTTCAGTCCATTGGTCCCAAAGTGTTGATTTCATGGTCCAATCAAGCCTTTTTGTCTTATTCTGAGGTATTACAAATGGTTTTCTTGCTGCAACTTGACCTGTCAACCTGCAGCTCCAACTTTAACTTCACAGTTAAAACAGACTTGCCTTCTATGACCACTCTTAAGCTGTGCTCGAAGCTGAGGGCCTGTGAGCTGCATATTCACACATGCTGTCGATGCTCAGAGACTTGTCAAGTGACATTGTTGTGGCTGAGTTTCCAACAGTTTTGAGTGCATTGTCACTGTGAAGGAAACTGGACTCTCAGACACCTTGACTTTCACTTTCCGGTAGGGCTGGGCGATAAATTGATTTAATTGATTAATTCGAATTTTCCATTTATAAAGATTTTATTTTTGCCCAGCCCTACTTTCAGGTAACCTTACATTTTTTTAAACCTCTGGCAGTTTAGCACTTACATTTGTACCCTTTCAAGCCTCTCATTGGACTTGAGCTGCTTGAATTTGAAATCAAAACACTGAAAATTTTAGTGTGCTCTAAAACTTTTGATTTTAGTGCGAAAATGTTTTTAAGAAAATCTAAATTTCCAAGTGACGTGAAGTATTCTCAGCACTGCCTGTATTCTGGCACTCAGTAACTGAGTGACTCATGGTATTGTGCGCACATCTTTCAACTGTAGACATTCAGATTGAAAAAAAAAATGAATTCATTATGGAGGGAAACATGAGCTCTAGCTCCTAAGCCATAGCAGTATGCCATGATAGTTAAACTAGTCACAAGGCYTGTTACCTTTTGAAGTTGCTTTAAATTTGGATAAAAATGCAGGGTAAGGAAGGAAAATGTCCAACYCAAGCAGACATTTCTTTCATTTTTGACACCCCCAGTGCTGTTAGTTTTTTGGCAGTGGTGGTAAACCATTAGGTAATGGTTGTCTGTTGTGAATGATTGTTCTCAGGTTTTGGAGAGGAGGAGAAGGGACAAAAGGAACTGTTTAAGAGAAAAGGCAGGAATGTGGCTAAATTGTTGCTGAATCATTCAGAGAAGTCTACTAAGGCCAAGAGAGACAAAAAAGACTTGGTGTTCCCGTCAGTCTACCATTKCAGAGAGAGAGATGCCAGTGGAGGCAGCAACTGACAGTCCTGAAAACCGCTGTCCAGTGCGGCGAAGTGGCAGACAGCCCAAACGAACTGACAAACTAGAGGAATTCCTCTTGACTGCAAAACGAGGGTCAAGAAAGAGTGCTCCCCCCAGCCTGGAAAGTGGAGATCCTCCTTCCCAAACCCCAACCGATGCAGAGACTGCCTCTGAAGCCAGTTTCGATGGCAGCGCTGACTCCAAGATTGTAGACGACAAAGTGGAGTCTCCAGAACGCAGGACAAGAAGTAGCACGAGGAGGCAAGCTCAAATGAAAACCCAAGAAAGACGACAGACAAGGAGTTCCTGCAGAGCAATGGTRAAAGATGAGGAGAGCTCTGAGAATGAAGAGGACAGTAAAGACACTGACCAAAAAGATTCATTAGAGGACGGCAGTMAGAAGAACACAGATAAAAATGATGATCTCAAACTGGAAAAAGCAGATGGCATTAATGCAACACAAGCTCAGTCTGAGCAGGACCCAGGTAAGAAAGTAGTTCCTGAGAAGAGTCAGTCTGGAGCTAAAAATGACAAAGAAAAAATGGAGGAGGAGACCGACGAAGACAGCGTTGACCCGTCTCTACCAGTGCCAGGAAATCGTAGGCCAGTACGAACTTACATCAATAAAATGAGGGCGGCTAAAAAGAACACTACACCTGCAGCACCTTCTCCTGCTAACAAGAACACAACAGTTGCCAAGAAGGAAACAAAGCCCAATGTCACTAAAGCTGCTGGCAAGACGAACAAGCCTGAAACAGAAGAAGAGGACGATGACGACTCTTATACATCCTCATCCTCCTCTTCATCAAACGAGTCTGACGGTGGAGGCTACGACCCCAATGCTCTGTACTGCATCTGTCGTCAGAAACACAACAAACGGTATGTTCTATTCTTTACTGTATGATTAAAGGTTTATCGTTAACTCAGCTGGTTAATTAACAACATGCAGTTCTAGTTAGTTTTCTGTTCAGGTTAAACACAGCAAACTTGAGCTTTTTCTTGTGTGGGATGTCAGTTGCTTTGTGAAGGTATGAGAAAAGTTTGTTCTTTGATGTCCTGGTTTTAACATGCCCACCAGGTTTATGATCTGCTGCGACCGTTGTGAGGAGTGGTTTCACGGGGACTGTGTGGGCATCACTGAAGCTCGCGGGCGCTTGATGGAAAGAAACGGGGAAGATTATGTTTGTCCCAACTGTACGGCCAAGAAAAGCCAGGTGGTCCGGCCTGCTACATCTATTCTTTCTGCAAGTGCAGATGTTTCAAAGCCCAAAGCTGCTGCCGCTCCAGTTAAAACTTCTTCTGTGAGCCCGTCTACAACTGCTGAGAGAGTTGCCACTAGTGAAGCAAATTCATCTGCTGTTCAGGCTGCAGCACTACCTCTGTCCTCTACAGTGAGTGGGACGGAAGAGAAGGGGGTAGAGGATGCCGGCATCAAAGGCAGGATAGAAAAAGCTACAAATCCAACTGGGAAGAAGAAGATTAAGATCTTTCAGCCGGTAGGTCCTTCGACAGAGTCAGMTGTCTAGTTGTTTATTTGCTGCTTGTTTTAAACTGTCCGGTCAACCGGTTCTCTACACGTTACTAAAATTAATTTTATATGTTTGACATCGTTAAGGATCATCATTTTTTTGAATGGCATTTATGTATTAAATTGTAATGTAGTGTAAGACGTCTTTGCAGAATGACATTATGTGGCATTATTTAATTTTCTTGTACGCTGACCTGAAGCAGACTGTTCAGCAGCCAGTTCAACCCAAAGCAGACCAGAAGACTGYGCCCGCTGTGGAGACAAAGGCACCGTCATCGGAGCAGAAAGCCCCAGCAGAAACTGTGCAAAAGGTTGCTACGACTGTGGAGGTGAAAACAACGCCAACCATGGAAGTGTCAGAGGATAAGTCCAAGCAGAAGGCTGAAGACGACTCTTCCCTTCCCAATTGCATCGGGCCCGGCTGCGAAAATAACGCCCAGCCTGACTCTGTGTACTGCGGAAATGACTGCATCCTGAGACATGCTGCTGCTGCCATGAAGTCCATCACTGACGTCAAAGAGCCCAAACTGAAGGAAAAGGCCAAGCCTCAGACAGACAAGTCTGCTTCAAAGGTAACCTGGACTGCCAGAAACGATTTCCTAAAAGCAATAATTTACATCTTAACTGGTGGGTTCAAATCAGTGCCTATAAAAAGTATTCATCCTTGTGGATGTTTTACCCTTTTGTTGTTATAAATCTATCATGGTCAATATAAATTCTCTGACAAATTTTTTTTTTCAGTGACTAAGTAGTTTAACAAAAAAAGTAATGTAAAATAAATTATTGCATAAAGATTCACTCCCTTTAATGTCACTGTAATTAAACAGAGGTCCAGCCACTAGTGATGGCAAAATCCAGTGTTTCAGTGCGTACCAAAACGTTCCACACGCTGTTCCGAGCGAAGCGTGTCAAATGTCTCATTCCACGTTCCAAAACAGTGATCTTTTCTTGTTTACACAGAATGAAAATATGAACACACTTTACACGTGAATGGTAATTTCTTGTGCTCTAGCCTGACTGGCAGCTGTTTCACCTCACAACATTAAATATATGTAAAGCTCTACTAAACTACAGTGTAATGTGAAGTCTGGCCTCATTTACCAGAGTTTCTCTTTCTGAACGTGGTTTTGGACTGTAGGATAGTGATATGAAAAGGGGAAGAAATCATTTAACACAAAACATTATTTTTATTAAGTGTAATATTTTAAAGCAACACATGCTGGTAAAATAATCACCAAACTGGGATTGCTCGTTTCAATGTCGTTCAATAATGATATCCTTGTTTATGTTGTTTTTTTTCTTATTTGCTATGCTTAGATTTAAGTTTATTTTTATTTTAATTATGTGATGCCAAACATAGCTCAGTGAACTCTGTTTTTTGCTTTGTGTGYGCGCTAAACTTATTGGCTTTAAATTGAAATGGCCACTAGATGTCGCTGTGGTGAGATGCTTCAAACGTTCCACAGGATCAAATCTTTTTGTGGAACAGTTGATCCAAATTATTTAATCGCTGGCACATTCCTTTTCTGCCATCACTGTCAGCCACTTGGTGCTAATATTCTCACAATTAGTGAATTCAAAACCTCCTGAGGTTAGTGTGTGTGTTTCTCAAGTAGATCTGCACAATATCATGTTTATTGCCATCACGATAAGAGCTTATGCTATAGGCATATCACAGAAAAACTGCATAAATTGCAATAAATGGTTGCCTTAAATATTTGCATTTATGCACATTGTCAGAATCATTCTGATAAAATGGACTCAAGATACCACATCCAATAATAACTATTTAGTGAGTGGAGACAATGTTGGACAACTGCAATGAGGGAATTTGAAAGAAAACCTGATAGTAAGTGTTGTGGCGTTTTTCATTATTTAGAGCACCAGAAAATGTTTTATGCGGACAGTGTTTTGAAGTCATTAGGAGACTGTATTGCATTCAGTTTGTTGTTTCACTGCTAATACAGCTGCTGCTTCTAATTGTACTTTTTAAAAAATAAAACTGTCATGTTGAAATGGAAATGATGTAATGGTTTTTGTTTTTCTGCTCTAATGCTAGAGCAGAAAGACATCAACTATACACACATTTGTTTATCACAAGTCATATCGTCGTCGCAGTATTAAGCACCGTTGTCGCACATTGCTGGTTTTCCTCATAGTGTGCAGTAGGGCTGCAACAACGAATAAAAAAAATTGATTATTAAAAGCGTTGGCAACGAATTTCATTTATCGATTCGTTGTGTCGCGCGATTCCCTCGCCATGTCGCAGAACCGTYTACATCACCCGCAGAGCGTTGTCAATGCTGGCTGACCTAAATACAGTTTGGGAAGAAAAAAACTTACCTGTAAAGATCCGCCCTCTCTGAGACTCTTGAGTCAAAAGCAGATATTTCGAACTTTAAACCAGTTTTCAAATTGTGTTGTTAGGCAAAGTAGAACTGAAGTTATGATAGAAAGTATATGATACATTTAATTTTTTTAAAAGATGTTCTGACTTGAATAGGGCTGCAACAACAAATCAATAAAAATCGATTATTAAAAGCGTTGGCAACGAATTTCATTATCGATTCGTTGTGTCGCGCGATTCCCTCGCCATGTCGCAGAGCCGTTTACATCACCCACAGAGCGTCGTCAATGCTGGCTGACCTAAATAAAGTTTGGGAAGAAATAAAACTACTTGTAAAGATCCGCCCTCTGACTCTCGAGTGAAAAGTAGAGACGTCAAACTTTAAACCAGTTTTTAAATTGTGTTGTTAGGCCAAGTAGAGCCGAAGATAGAAAAAAGTATATGCCACAATTAATTTTTTTAAAAGACGTCTGATTTGATGTGTGCCGCGTCGTGAGGAGGAAACACATCCCGTGGTGAAAAAAAGTACCTCAGTYRACCTCAGTCCACCATTTCTTTCCTCCTCTCGGACCAGAATTATAAAACCCTCGTCTTTTTTTCTGACTTAGGCTCAAAGTTATTTGATAAACAGCAAAAAGGTTCAGGACGAGAGGAGGGGTGGGGGGTGGACGCAGCAGAACTCCTGGTCTGACTCAGTAGGGGAGGGGAGGAGGGATGGGGGGCTGCTTCAGAACCGGATCATTCAGTCTGACTGAACCAGAAGGAAGCAAAACGTAAATAATTAAAGAAAAATCATCAATTCTAAATGCAAATAAATTCTAATTATATTAAATTAATAGTTTTACATCTAAAAATCATATTTTATTCTTTTAATCTATTTTCCTCATTCAGGAACCTATTAAATTTCTGCTATGTTTCATATATGAGGAATACATGTTTTTTTGTCAGTATTTAATACAGCTGGCAAAATAAATTGTTAAAATATTTATGATGTGCTTCTGTTTTTTAATTCAGCAGATTATAAAAAATACTTCATTTTATAAAAAGACCCTCTTGATTCAAGAGAAAACTCCGGTTTTTAAGAAAATGGCTGCTTATCAATTAATTGTTAGTCAATCTATAAGATAAATCAACCAGATTAATTCGTTAATCAATAACATGCATCCCTAATTTATACAGGAATGAAATTAATTTATATCTACTCCTATTCATGTAATTAAGTGTTTTAATGATTTGGCCAATTAATCGACTAAACGAAAAAATAATCGGCAGATTAATCGATTATTAAAATAATCGTTAGTTGCAGCCCTAGTCTCAAGTGATTGAGGTATAAGAACACCTGTGTCTGTTCACTGGTTAATCAGTATTTTTTTGCAATGAAGACAAAACCTAAGCAACTCAAAAGATTATTAAAAAGTGCAATGCAGATCAGACACAAAATGTTTTCCAAGGTCTTATACATCCCCAGGAGTTCTGATAAATCCATCAAGGAATGGAAAGAAAATGAGATGTGTAAATGTACCAAGAGCAGGCTGTACTCACTAAGTGAGTGGGAGAGAGGAACCTGTGAGTTACAAGCTTGGCGAGATGGGAGAGACTGTTATTTACTAGTCTAAGCTTTATTGGAGTGTAGTAAAGGGAAAGTTACTTGAAGGAAACTTGGATTAAACAGCAGGTGGAAGACCATGGTCAGGTGGTATGAAGCTCTGTGCTCTGTGTTCTCGTGAAAATAAATAGGAAGTTTTTGGCCGTCTCATAAAATGCCATGTTTGGTGAAAAGCCTAATACTGCACATCACCACAAACATAATTCCCATGTTTAAGCATGGTGATGGCAGCATAGTGTTATGATGCTTCTCGCAGCCAACACTAGGCGGGGCTTGTGAAAAAAGGTAAAGTAAGCACAGAAAAATATATTAAAAATCCTGTAGGACTGTCTACTGTCTAAAAATGAACTACAACTTGAAAGTATTTTTTTTTCTTCGTAGCAGGACAATGACCCAAAGCGTTCAGCAAAAACCACATAGAAACCRTTTAAAGATAACAAGGTGTATGTTTTGGAGTCAAAGCTCAGACATAAATTCAATATAAATTTGTGGTTTATCTTGTATTAATCTGACAGCTTGAGCTATTTTTATCAACAAAAAGGGAATAACAGTCCAGTGTTTAGATTTGAAAGACAAATTTAGACTTAGTGCTTTGATTGTAGCCAAACTACTAAATGTTGTGAGGGGGTGAATATTTAGGCGRTCACATTTTGCATTCCACATTGTTAATTGGTATTTGTAGAAATTTGTTATAATTTTACAAAAATACCCATTTCTAAAGACCATGATTGATTTATAACGRCAATAAAATCAAACCACCAGGAAGGTGGATACTTTTTATTGGAACTGTAAAAGGCTGGATTTATAATTTTAATAAGTTTTTAATAGCAACAGAAGACCTTCTCAGAAAATATGTTCACCTTCAGAATTCTTGTCCAGTCTTGCAGWATGGAAATGTTTGGAAATTGGTTTGTCTTTTCCAGGTTTTAATAATTATTGGAAAACATTTGCGATGCTTTTTGCATACAGGTTGCTCAAACGGGGTATTTTTCATATTTTATAAAAAAAAAATGCCATGAAATGTTCATGTAATTTTTTATTTATTTAAACTATAAAGGTTAGAAACTTGGAAATTTAAACATGCAACACAATGAATTATTGTGGGAAGCCTTTTCTTTACTGTTAAAAATGAAATATAAAAATGCAATGCCTTGATCTTTTTTTCAGTTTTCCATGCTAAGGTAAAAGGGAATTTGTCAAACTCAGATCAGAAATGTTTAGGCAAAAAATGTTGTGAAATTTCTCAAAAATTGACAATTATTAAATAGATGCATCTATTTCAGTACTAAGCCATTTATTCTCATATTATGGTAAGGCTAATGAAAAAAAAATTTTAACTGAAAAGATTATTTTCCACTCAATGGTTGTAAATAAACACTCRGATCATAAAACTACTAATTACATTCAATTTACAGATGCTCAAATATATGTTTACATGTAAGCTTTGAGAAGTAGCAGTATTTATTATAGATGCCRTTTTTTCATAAAAGATGAATTCACTGTTTGACATTTTTAGGGCCCTCTATGAGTACACAGTATTTTATCCTCATTGTGTTGAAACWCTAAATGCACTGTATATAAATCAAAACAATATCCATTTTTCTTGTTTGTTCACACTTCCTAACTTTAAAGTTATTTTTAAAGGTTTTATAGACTTTACATACATCCTGACAGACTGGTTTAAGCAGATTTTTGTATGGCAAATAAAATCCTGGGATTCACACACCCCTCAGGCGAGGGTGATCCCTTGAAGGGTAAACAAACRGATAACGATTAGCTTGCTGCTGCTATCTGCACAGCTATCGGCTCTTCTGACACTATTTCCTGTGTCCCGCCCTCTCTTTTTCATTGGCTGTTTGTGACACGTCTGCAGTTGAGTCAGTAATCWGTTCACCTGCTTGAGTCCAGATTCAGCTTCAGAAATTCCAACCTGTCTGATTGACTTACAGTAAGGTCAGGCTGGGTTCACTCACACAAGCAAATTTCATGTTTATTCCACACAAGTTCCACCTAGCTGTGCAAAATGTTCCCTGTGCTGCATACTGATGAATGGGATTCGTGAGTAAAATCTGGCAAAACTCAGTTTTCACCTGTTTATTTTATGGTTAGTAGGTTGATGAATTTCCTCTACCCAGTACAGGAAGTTGTAGCTGAAACAAGCTGTATATATTAAGAATGCAAAAAAAAAAAAAAAGTTCCAAACTGAATTATCTTTGTTTTGCAGTTCTGTACAATACATAACCAGCCTTAAGCTATAGAAATTAATTGTATCTTTACCTAAATTTTATGTTAATTAGCCCAACAAAAGAGATGACTAGTCCTTGTAGCATTTGCTGCTTTTTATTCTACCATTTTTCTTGGCAAAATCAAATGTAATTCAGCTTTGCCCCAAAAAACAAAATACTTTAGTTACGCCAACTTCATCAGTTGGCRTAACTTATTTTATTGTATTAATCAAACATAGACTTATATACGAACATATCTGAAGAGATAGCTTGTTTCTGAGCAACGGGGACTCTATTTTAAGCTGGTGATATTTAAAAGAATCTTGTATGTAATATTTCATAATGTCTGCTTAGTTGACCAAATAGTAGTTCTGAAAGTTAGCTCATACCTGACACGTCTTGTTTTTAACATGAACCGTACTTGGAAAAATGCCTGAAAGTGTGTCTTTTGTTCTTATCTGCCCAGAAGAGTGTTGCTGGTGGGAAGAAGGCACAAAAGACGGAGGACGCCTCAGACAGCGAGGAAGACCTCGGCCATGAAACGGATGAGGACGACGAAGATGAGCATGCTGAGGAACACCCGCCCCCTCCGTCTACAGCTTCCTGGTCCAGCGATCATAATTACATTGCAGTAATGCCAGAAAAGACTACAGCCGTGTCACCAACAGTGTTAAACAAAAAGTGTATGTATCTCCTTGAAGGTCTTGCGCAGCTGTTGAAACAATGTTTTTTTCATTTTATGTGGTTCCTGTTATGCTACTCTCATAGAAATAATCCATGTGATCTTTGCACTAAAAGTATGATTTTAATAATGTAAAAACCTTTTTAACTAAATGACTTGCTGGCAGCTGTAAAACAGGTAAGTCTCTGTTGTGGCTTTTGGAGAATACTTTCTGAAAATTTATTCTGAACTGTGCAGTCCACAGATTATAAACTTCACTTTATTCCTCTGATGGTTCTGGAAGAGTTTGCAAAAGCAAGATGCATTAACTCTGAGGTCCTCCTGGTTGTTTCTATTTGAAATTTAAAACTGTTTCTGGTGTAAATCTAAGTGCTTTTTAAAATGTGAAGWATCAGTGGGTGGTTCTGAAAGACAATGTAGCATTTCAGGATAAGAACACTACAGTCCTGCCTTATAAAAGCATCACATTTACACAGTACTGATGAGGTTTCAGGCTGAATTTGGAAACTTATTATACTAAACTTAACTTKTACTAAGTCTTCATTAGGAAGACAGTAAAACTAAAAGGGTGATTTGTATTAAGTGGTTTAATGCAATAGATTTAATGAATGAAATGGGTTTATGAATTGGTGGTTTTTTTTTTTTTTTTTTTTTTTTTTTTTTTTTTTTTTTTGCTTTCCAATGTTCTACCTCATTTGCCTCCACAAGTCCATCACTTCCTGGGCTTGTTACCTCAGGTCTTCCCTCAAACATCTTTACTTCCCACAGGTAAGGTGTCCTGGTAGTTTTCTAAAGTTAATAGATTGAACTTGGCTCATGTTGAGCTGATAATTGTTTGCCCTTACTTTTTTATATTMTATGCTGTTATCTGAGTTTTTGATTCACGTTGAATATGACACATYACTAAGAAAGTGACTTTAAAATAAAAGGTGAAAAACAGATTTTTGGATGAGTCGATTGATTGATTATGTGAAAGATGTTGGCATGCTGTTGGATATCCTGAGCTGAAAACCAACATTTACAGCTATTTACTCWACACCTGATGGATATCCTTATGAGGCTGGGGCTGCTGTAGAAGAAAAAGCCACTTCTGTGAAGAGGAGACCCAGGAGAGAAGATGTGAAGTCCAGAAAACTCCAGCAGGAGATGGAAGACCAACGAGCACACGGACAAAGAGGATAGGGGGACAAACCTTGGTTCTTTCAATACAGTTTTGCTGTTGAAGATTAGATGGGTAATTGAGAACAATTATGAAAATTGGATCGCTGAATTTCATCTCAACTCAGTCTCATACAAAATGCCGACAAAAGATTTCGGAGGATAGCAGCTGTTGCAGCAGATGATGTTTAAAAGTATCCYGACAGCTCAGGAGATCAGCAGCTTTAATGATTGTTGTGTTAACAAGCAGCAAAGTATAATTTTATCAGTTTGCATGATTTGCTCCATGTTTTGGATACGTTTTGTGTCGTGATGAAAAGTAAACGCTGATAACAGTTGGCCATTTTGACTTTAATTTTTAAGTTTGTGGATTCTGTGTGTGAMGAGTTTAAGTACCACCTGGTGTGGCTGACAAAAGATGTTGGTCAAACAGTTCTTGTAATCCTATAGAGCTGATTGAAAAATATTTTTAGTGTGATTGATGACAAAGAAGATAAAATGATCTGTGGGTTCTTGCACAATTAAAAAAAACAATGAATGTGGCATTGACCAGGTTGATGGTGGTGAAAATTTGATTTTAACTTTAAGTTGTTTTGCTTGATCTGATCACATTTCAGCTAAACTATTATTAGTTTTTTTTAGTCACAAATGTTAAATTCCATATAAATCCAATTGATTAGCTTTCACCCCAGCTGCAGTTGGTTAACCAGTATGGTGAAGTGATTGAAACATGTAGAGTTGCATATGTTCATTTAAACTTTTATTCACCAGTTGTTAGCAGCTAGGATGTTAGCACTTCTATCAGTTCTGTTTATCTGGATTTAAAATTTAAAAATGGCTAACATTAGCAGGAAATTGGAGCAATTTTAAAAGATTGTTGTCACAGCATATATTAGTTTTTAAAAATCTTGCATTAACTGCACAATATATGCTGCCATTGCTATAAAATAAATGGGTGTTCAATTTATTTGTGTTTTGTTTTTAATGTTTTCAGAATTAATTTACTCAACTTGACACTGTGACACTGGGAGTTCTATCTTTTGTGTTTTTAATGTTTTTTTTTTTTTCTGGACTAGCTGGAAAAGGGTAAATAAGTCCATATGCAATTTATCTGCTGAATAAAGTAACTGTCCCATAACTAAGCTTTGCAGATGTTGGAATGATATGCCATTATTTGTAAAATATTGGGTTTTTGTTCTTGATTTCCAGCTCCTCCCAAAGAAGAGAAGCAGAATGAGAAGGAGCAAATTCCATCTTCGGAGAGGTCCACAGCATCTGAAACACCAAGCAAACGACACAAGAAGTCCCTTCCAACTAAAGCTGAGAAGGTGTCTTCTAGGACCAAGAAGTCTTCTCCAGCTGCTAGCTCAAAGACGACAAAGAAACCTGCCACAAACCCAACTAAAACTGCAGCAAAGTCCAAGAAACCAGGCTCTACACCTGCCCCAGCCCCATCCCCCTTCCCTCCTGGTCCAGTTCACATCACGGGGGCACTCAGGGTCACCAAGTGCAACTTCACCATTCCCAAGAAGCAGCCTCAACAAAAGGAAGCAGAGACCAAGTCAAACTCCTCAAGAGTCCCATCATCTCCAGTGTCTTCAGCTCCATCCAGTCATTCCTCATCTTCCAGACCAGCGCATCCACCAACATCAGCACCACCTGCTTCTCCAATGAGGCCCCCACCCAACCACCAAATGAGAAAGAACATCTGCCGCTCACTGACAGACATCCTGTTCAAGAGGTAACTCTCTTTCTCTGCTCAGCTCTGTGCCAACCTCTCAGTTTATTTATTTGATTTACAGCACTGACCATTAGCAGGTTTAAACAAATATCTCTGTTTCCCTCGACCAGGGTGAGCGACAGTGACGATCTGAAAATGACAGAGAATGAAGTGGGACAACTTGCATTTGCTATTGAGAAGGAGATGTTTAACCTCTGCCTGAGCACCGACAGCAAGTACAAGAACAAATACAGAACCCTCATGTTCAACCTGAAAGATCCTAAAAACAAAGTGAGCAGCTTTTCCATTTTTCTAGAAAAGAGATGGATTCCGTCAAAGCAAAGCTTCCCGTTTGAAAAGTTTGGGTTTTGTACGTTGGATTTCTGTCATTTTGGGATGTTTGTTGCAGGGCTTGTTCTACAGGGTGATCGGTGGAGAGGTAACTCCCTTCAGACTGGTGCGACTGAGCGCTGAAGAGCTGCTGTCTAGAGAGATATCTGAGTGGAGAAAGTCTGATACTACTGGGGTAAAAGTGAATTATTTTTGTCCAGACATCTGCTGTACCTCAACCTGAACTTAAGTTTTTATGACCAATTAAAAGGGGTATGGGTGTTTGTTTGAAGCATTAAATTACACTTGTGATATGATTTTTGTCTGCAGGGTCATTCTGCCAGTGCAAGGTCCCATTCCGGGCAGTCCAAGCTTAGAAACAGGCATGGCTCTCACAGCCTTGATATGGAGGATGCTCCACCATCGTCTGATCCAGATGTATGTATTTTTACTGCCACTTCGTCTTCTCGCTTGGGTTCAGCTTCAGTAAGTGTGAATGAACTTCTCTTTTTTCTTATCTTATTTTCATTTTTGCATGGCGCTTGGGCTCAGACAGACAGAGCTAAGAAAGTAGATAAGGCTTGATAAGTACTGCAACTTCGCCTACTGTCCTTTCCTGCACAAATTCTATCTTTTATCTCCATCTTGCTGGTGAAAGTGCAGTGGTGTGTATGTAACTGATCTGGGTATTAATGGGGTGCACATACAAATCTACCTCAATTTTCTTAATTTTGGGAGATATTAAAGTAAGATTGGAACATTAAAGGTGTATTATGACCTTATAACATCTGACAGTGTCGGTTATTAAAAAAAAGGTTTTGGCCAAAATTTGCAATCAACAGGTCAGACTTTTTAAAGATCGGTGCACCCCTAGATATTATGATTGTTGATTGAGTGGGTGTCATCTATTTCACTCCATCAAAAGTTTGATCCATCTTTTCTGTGTGGTCAGGACCAAGATGAGTCTGGTTCCACCCCCTCGGCTTCTGTTCAGTCATCTGCAGTTGAAGGAAGCAGTGGCAGCGGTRTGGTGGATGTTTTCAGCAGCATGCTCAAAGACACCACCTCTCAGCACAAGACCCATTTGTTTGACCTGAACTGTAAAATATGTACAGGTAATTAAAAAAATACTACTTGAAAATTGCTTTTTAAATTGTGTTTTATTTATAGCATTGTATTTATGCTTAAAATCTTGCTTTTTAGGACAAAAACCAGAAGATGAGCCTGCAGCTAAAAAAGCCAGACTAACCAAGAAGCCTGACACAAAGCCACCCAGGCTGGAGTCTGCTTCATCCAGGCCAGGGGATGTGTCTCCTGTCAGTCAAACACAGGCCACCACGGCCTACCCTCACCAAGATGCTGTGATGTACCAGCACTTGTTCCCTCCGTCCTGTCAGGCCAACATGGAGCCCTCTGTTCCTGAATCTCAACCCCAGCCTTATCAAGAGGACCCCAGCATCATGGCCCCTCCAGCTCAGACCCCTGTGCTTATCGCCCCGGCTGTTTCCTCTGTAAGCATCACTCGGAGAGACCCTCGCATGGCCAGGCACACCCCTGGGGTGAATATTGTCCAGACAGCCCCAGAGAAACCAAACATCAGCCCAGCGGAGCCAGTGTTGCCAGCTTCTCTTCCTGCTCCAGTGGATGTTGGCGCTAAGGTGCCACTGCCAATGCCCCCCGCTGCACCATCACCAGTGGCTGTGGCAAAATCTGCAACAAAAAGGTTTTTCCTCATTTTAACAAATACTGTCTCTGCAACAATATTTTTGATATAAGCGCGTTAACAAAATGCATGTTAAGCTCAAAACTGTTGTCTTAAAAGGGATGGGAAAGGTTTTGTATATAAAAAGTGTGACCTAGTTTTTAAATTTAATTCATAGTGTTTTGTGAAGACATTTTAAACTCGTCTAAAAGAAACCTCATTTTGTTTTTACAGTACACCTGAGCCTCTTCTTGAAGGGGAAACTGCAATCTTCCTCCATGGTCAGGAGACAATATGGAAAGGATTTGTCAACATGCATACAGTAGCCAAATTTGCAACCAAGGCTTACTTGGTTTCAGGATCCTTTGAACACCTTAAAGAGGTAGTTTACCAAAGTTTTTTTAAAGGGTTTGACAATTACTTTTACAGTTTTTGGGTTTGTAAATAGCATTAGTTGACATTTAACAACCTGTTTATTTTGTGACTATTGTGCAGGATTTGCCTGACACCATTCATGTGGGAGGTCGGATATCTCCAAGCACTGTATGGGACTATGTTGGGAAGCTAAAAACGTCCCTTTCCAAGGTTTGTAAACGCACCGCCTGACTTGTACAAAAACTATTTATCACTTGAAATACTTTGTAGTGCTTAACATTTTTTCCCTTCCCTATTATTTACAGGAGCTTTGTCTGATCCGTTTCCACCCAGCCACAGAGGAAGAAGAGGTGGCGTATGTCTCTCTCTTTTCTTACTTCAGCAGCAGAAAGAGATTTGGCGTGGTGGCCAACAACAACCGGCGCATCAAAGACCTTTATCTCATCCCCCTTAGCTCAAAGGATCCCTTACCTTCAAAACTGTTACCATTTGATGGACCAGGTAAGCGTTCATGAAGTGTAATTTGTTTTTAAATCATTCCAAGTCATATTGTTTTTTTATGTCACTTTACATGTAAGAACTTAATATGCAGCATTAAGATCAAAAGAATAAAACTGAAGTAGGAGAATAAAAGTGAAATTTATAGTTAATCTAAATCTAAAAATCCTTCTATTACTAAGTTTCTTAAAAAACATCTATTAATAACAGTAAAGAGAGCAGTGCAGGAAGTAGAGCAATAGATGGCAGAATTGTAAACATTTTACATATCAACATGCAGAGAACGTAAGTATGTAATCTTCAGTTTATGAATAAACGTTACAGAATGTACAGATTGTTTATAAATGGTGTGTTAATTGACAGTAGGTCTTTCCCAGTTTAATAGGCAGGATGAACAGATGGATAATGTAAAGAGTCAAAGGAGACCATGCATGGTTTTTACTGTAGGGGGCGCTCTCATTTCTTACTGAGTCTCCCATCCTGCTTGTGACTGTTTTCTTCATATGACACCTTTCAAATACAGAAGTTTGCATTGTAGGTAGCTGCCTTTGCAGGCCAGTTTCATGTTGTTGTTAAGACTTAATACAATAATATCAATTGGTAATTTGATGATATGTTAAATAAATTTCTATAATGTAAACAGAGTCTTTTTGTGCTTACATTTACAGTTAGGTCTATATCTGTTTGGAAACTGAAACTTTTTTATCTGTTTCCTGAAATATATTCAAGTTATAATTATATATAGGTTGAACATTGACTTAAAGTCTTTCAGCTTTGCCTTGAGAGTATCCACATTAAAATTGAATGAAGGGTTTAGAAGTTCAACTCCTTAACATGTGCCACCCTGTTTTTAAAGGGACCAAAAGTAATTGGACATCTGACTCAAAGGGTAGTTCTTGGACAGGCATGGGCAATTCCTTAAATGTGTCATTCTCAATTAAGCAGATAAAAGGCCTGGAGTTGATTTGAGGCGTGGTGCTTGCATTTGGAAGATTTTACTATGAAGTAAACATGCGGTCAAAGGAGCTCTCCATGCAGGTGAAACAAGCCATCCTTAAGCTGCAAAAACAGAAAAAAAACCCATATGGAAAATTTCTACAATAATAGGAGTGACAAAATCTACAGTTTGGTACATCCTGAGAAAAAGCAAGCAAGCAAGACAGACAGATAGAAAGAAAAAGCAAGCACTGGTGAGCTCATCAATGCAAAAAATAATTTCCCTGATGAAGAGAAACTCCTTCACAACAGTCAACCTAGTGTTTTTTTTTTGTATAAAATTTTTATTTTTGAATGAAGAAATGAATTAAACTAAACAACACTCTCCAGGAGGTAGGCATATCAATATCCAAATCTACCATAAAGAGAAAACTGCATGAAAGTAAATACAGAGGGTTCACTGCATGCTGCAAGACACTCATAATCCTCAAGAATAAAAAGTTCAGTGGTTGCATCTAAGACCACACCTAAAAAATCTGTTTCAACATTAAAAACCTAATGAGGACTGTCAGCAAGTTTACATCTGAATTACCGGTAATGCATTGGCGTGGACATTTAGCATCTCAATTTTTGCATTATTGTTTAAAGAAATTGTGTTGAATATTTCTTACATTGATTTTTTTACACTGTCAGATATTTTTAAWTGTTTTTGCATTTAGAGAAAAAAAGTTTTGCAACTTCTGTTTTTTTATTTCATTGTTTGTTTTTTATATCACAGGACTCGAACCAGCTCGTCCCAACCTCCTCCTAGGGTTGCTGATTTGTCAGAAGGACAGAAAACGTGCCGGTGTGCTGCTTGAAACGGAGGAGAAACGAGCAAAGATACAAATCAAAGAAGTGGATGAAACTGGTCTTCCAAAGCCACCCTCCACCGTGAAAGTTGACAAGAGCACACGGCAGAGTCTTGAAATCCCCTTCAGCACAACTCCCCCTGGATCACCTCCATCTAGCTCCTCTGAGGCTCCCAGCAGCACTGCAACTGCCTCATCAGTTCTTTCCTTGCTATCATCTGTTAAAGCTGCAGCTTCATTTTCTACTTCTGGCAAGGATTCTCCATCCATGTCCAGCTCTCTTGCTGCCTCTGTAGCAGGCGCCAATCCTCTTCAGACCATTCTCAAACTCTTCAAGAACACAAAACACGATTCAGAGGCCTCAAACTCTCCATCTGATCAATCTGGGGAGCTCCCCACCCCTGCTACATTGTTAGATCCCATTGTGCGGCAGTTTACACAAAATTCTAAGGAGAGCACAGTGGAGGAGGATGATGACCGACCATATGACCCAGAAGAGGAGTATGACCCCAGTAGAGGCTATAATGTAGCCAAGAAGCCTGCTGAGGCTTTGGTCCAACCAGAGGTCTCTAAACAACCTGAGGTGGTAGACAATGAAACTGATGATGTGGCATATGACCCAGAAGATGACTCTATTTTTGATGAGGTTAAAACCGTGGCACCAGTTGAACCCAAACCTGCAACTGAATGTGTACCTAATCCACAAAAGATCCTGGAAAACCTTAAAAGAATTGGAGAACAGGCGTTACAGAAACAGCTGGGACAGCAAATGTCATCCGCAGCCTCTTCAACGCCCCAAAAAACACTTGTAACTCAGCCTGTCGCGTCGCTTTTGGCCAACAGTCAGCTGCTTCAGCTTGGCAAGAAGGTTGAAGAACTGGTCAAGTCATCAGCAGCAGCAGCCCCTCTGATCAACCAGAGGAGAGATCCGAGACAGAGCAGGGATCTTCAACAGTCTACCAGTGAACGGCAACCACTTGATGAGCCTGAGGACAAAGAAGAGTCATCTACTCCTGTGGCTGATCCTGTTCCCCCTGCACAGCCTGTGGCAAAAGAGTCAGAGCAGCCTATTACAGAAGAACTTGTTGATTCTTCACAAGACAAAAAGACTTTGCCACGCAAGGAAGAGGAGATGGAGACTCTGCCTTTCATGCCATCAGATGAGGAGGAGGTGTCGATTCCTTTGTTAGGAGAGGAAGTAGACCCTGATATGGAAGCCAACTACATGGATAACAAAAATCCTACAGCTGAGGAAGAGCAAGAAGATGAGGAAGCAGAGGTGGACAAGTACAGTCTTTGGCCAAATGCAGCTAGCATTTTAAAACCTGCTGAAGACTCAGAGTAYGATGAAAATAGCCAGGATTCTACAAGTTATCACAGAGACTCCAGAGACTYTTTCACAGAGGCTTCTACAATCCCAGTTCTCACTCAGAGCACAACAGCTGATGCTCACTCACGTCACATGTCACATCGCATGGCATCTCCGAGCTTTGATGAGTACAGACCTCCCACTGATCTTCCACCRCCATCCAGGTTCAATGCACCCCATCCCATGCAGGGACAGAACTTGATTATGAGGCCTCCACCTGCAACCATGCTGCCACCCATTCGAGGTCCCCCTCCAATGTCAGCTCCCCCTTCTATGCAGGGTCCCATTCCAATCCACGTTCTGCCCCCGGTGCGTAGTGCTCCACCCTTGCAAGGTGACAGCAGTCAGCATTACGGCCCACCTACGTCCTCGTATCCTCCCTACCAGAACCAGTGGGCAAGCACCCAGCTACCAACACAGCAGCCCCTTCCTGGACCACCACCACCACAGAACATTATGCCACCCAGAGGGCCACCCGTATCATTCCCTCCAGTTGCTCAAAGAGGGCCCCCTCCACAAATGTTTGATCCCTCTATTGTCCCTCAGCACATTAGACAGCAAGCACCCMATCCAGGCCTACCCCCGCCTCTTACATTTGAACATAACTTACCTCCACCAAGACTAACTGGTCCACCTCCTTTTAATTTTCCTGCAAACAGAGCTCCACCTCCTCCTTTCACTGCCCTCCCACCTGCACACTTTGACAACAGACCCCCACCTTCAAACATCTTCCCAGGGCCCCGAGGTCCTCCACCATCCCAGTATGGTGAGCAGCATTATAACAAAGACATCCCCAGTAGCTCCTTTAATCCAAATCTGGAGCAAAATCCAAATGTGCACCGTATTTTAAAAGACAATCAGGGACTTGTGCCAGGTCCTCCTTACCAAGCACCTCCACCTAACCAGTATGAAGACAGAAGAGGCCCCCCTTCTGTTGGGGAGATAAGTGGACAGCATTTTAGGCCTCTTGGCCAATATGGGAGCTCCGGGCCACCATCTTCACCTGCACACAGAGGGTCGTTCGATGAGCTTCGAGGTCCTCCGGTTCAGGAAAACAGATCTCACCTTTCTCAGCGTTCTGAGCGTTTTCGCTTTGATTGGCAATCGGACGAGCCCAGACTCATTCGCCACAACGTGCCACTGCACCCAATCCATGCAGATGAACCCCATGGTCATCCAAGTCGCCATGAAGCCCACAGCCCAGACCTACACAGAGAAGACCACTGGCGCCACCTTTCCCCTGACATAAGGAGGAGGAGCAGCACCACTCGTGAGGACACAGAGCCTCGCGGCGGAGAACGGTTGAGTCGCTTTGATGGAGGACACAGAGAACTCGCTCCTGGCTCCTCACAGTCCTCTGAGGAGCGACAGAGAGAACCTTCTGAGGATCGACGGAGGGAAAGAGAGAAGGAAGGACCTCATGGGGGCAGGTCATCATGGGACAGGGGACAAGGAATGCGCTGGAGCCGAGAGCATGAGTGGGAGAGAGCCAGAGAAAGAGGCCTGGACAGAGAACCAGAACATGACCGGGAAAGTGACCGCAGCAGAGTGAGGGATGCTGAAAAGCACAGGGACACTGAGGGAGAGCGACACAAAGACCAAGACTCTGAAAAAAGGAGAGATAGAGACCGTGCAAGAGAGGGTGACAGAGACCGAGAGAGGGAGCGGGAGGGAGACAGAGACCGGGACAGAGACCGAGAGGGTGGCAGAGACCGAGAGAAGGAGCGGGAGGGAGACAGAGACCGGGACAGAGAGCGAGAGGGAGGCAGAGACCGAGAGCGACAAAGTAACAGAGAGCGAGACAGAGAGAGAGAGCCTGACAGAGACCGTGACAGGGAGAGAGAGGGAGACAAAGACAGAGAGCGACAGAGTAACAGAGAGCGAGACCGGGAAAGAGAGCCTGACAGAGACCGAGAGAAGGAGCGGGAAGGAGACAGAGAGCGAGAGGGAGGGAGAGACCGGGACCGACAGAGTGACCGAGATAGGGAAAGAGAGGGTGACAAAGATCGAGACCGAGAGAGGCAGAGAGACCGAGACAGGGAGAGAGAGAGCGATCGAGACCGGGAGAGGCACCGAGACAGGGAGAGAGAGGGCGACCGAGATCGAGGTAGGGACTCTGACCGCAGGGACTACGACCGTGACAGGACACGAAACCGTGACAGAGAACATGAGCGGGACAGAAAACGAGATGGATCCAGAAGCAGRGATCGGGATCGTGGTAAAGATCGAGGAAGGGACCGGGACCGAGACCAAGATAGGGACAGGGAAAGGGAGAAAGAGAGAGATCGTGACAGAGACAGAGATCGTCGGGAAAGGAGCAGAAGCAGAGAAAAGAAAGAGGAGAAAAGACACAAACATGATTCGTCCAAGGGGAAAGCCAGGAGTACAGACACTGACAAGAGCTCCTCCTAGTTTCTGGTTTCTGGATCTCTGTTTTTAATGTTCTTAAACCTCTACCTGATCACAAATTGGGTATATGTGTATGAACAGTATTTTGTTAAATTTAGCTAACTTTCTTTCCTACTAGGATAAAAAAAAGAAATCAATTGTCTAGATTTTCCTCACTTTAGCATTTTTGTTTATTTCATCACAATTGAAAAAAGTCCACTTAAATTCCTTCTGTACCATAGATGAGTAGGCTACTAAGTCCTGATACATGTATTCTCTTGTTGAAACATTTTTTGTTTTTTAAAATGTAACTGAATACTGCTCCATTTACAACATGTAAATATGAACATATTTGTATAGATACTGATGTTTTTATTACTTTTCTATGTGGAAAAAAATATAAGCCATATATCTGAGGTGGACAATGTGAAGGTTACAGCAACACTGTTGCAACACATRACTGAGTCTGTGCTGAGCAGCTTTGAACTAAGACTTCTATCTACAGTGTACCAACCAGACATACTTTATGAGAATGAATGTCCAGTTTTTGTTTCAGCTAAAACAATTAAACATGTTTATTGAAGTGTGGTRGGTTGTTTTTCTCTTAGGTTTCACAAGTGGCTATAAGAGTCAGCTAACAGTGTGAAAATATCTGTTTATATTTAACAGCTTTTTGCTATTGATACCTGCAATATTCAAGTTAGACAGCATTATGAGCACAATACATGTCACCTTGCGTTATAAGAGAGGTAAAAGAGCAAAAAATRTTTAAAACTAAATTAACAAAAACTTGTCTCAAAACCCATAAACTTTTGAAAATTTTCAAATAAAATATGAAATGCTTTTAAATCTTTCTTTTTCACATGTAAATCATTCAGTTGGTGTGTATAAAAAGTGGAACATCAGTGTTTTGGTTGGAATTCCTCATAACTCCACAAACCCCGCCTTCATCTCTCTTCTGAGGTGTCTCAGATGAACTCGTTTTGAGGCTGTCGCTTTAAATCCAAATGAGATGCTTCACACCCTGCTCCCCTCCAGCTTCCAGACTGGTCCATTCTAGTTTGATAGAGGGGTTTACAACTATATGGTGGCACAGAAAATGTTTTATTTACAAATGAATTAAAATATGTCAACAAAGGAAAACTTGTCCATCCAKCCAGAGTCTGACCCAGGAAAGAATAAAGACCACCAAATTGTAGTTGGTAAGTCCAGACCTTATTTGGGAATTCCAAAACAGAACATAAAGATATTTATGAAGAGACTTAAATTCAGCATTTGCTAGAAACCCCAACTACACAACAAAATGTATTTTAACGGCTAAAGTGAATTTTGCATGGTATGTCCCCTTTTAAAGTTTGCAATCCTAATATTTTAAGTGAAAACAAAACATGCATGTCTAGTGTAAAATACATTTGAATAACTAGAACATGTATTTCAGAAAGCATGAAGTTTAGAAACAATACTGGTTAATAATGACAATCCATAGTGAGCAATTCTGACGGTTTCTCAGTTGTCTGTCTGACACTCACTTTAAAACATTTTCTCCTGGATCAGGTTTCTTAAGGAAAGAATTGAGGAAAATAATCTGAAAATATAGATTTATTTAACAAACAGCTGCATAAACAGTTTCATTGACTGAGTGCAGTAGGAGCTCAACACCACTGAATAATTTATTGTACATATTTACCAGCAGTAAATCAGATTTTGCATGGATTTTTATTGCTTGATAATAAATCTATGCATTTAACACTCACTGTTGTTTTATGGATTTTACATAAAATGTAATACAAGGAGATTTGGTCCAAGGCAACTGATTGATCATTAAAATGAATTGATCATAAAGGCTGTGACCATATTTATCTTTGGGCACCAAACAGTCTCATATTTAGGATTCATAGGTCTTCTCACTTTGACATTAGAAATTTCTCTGTGGACAAAAATCTCTTTCTTAAATGTTTGAACATCTTTTAAGTGTTTGAGAACACAGCTTTTTTAATTTTATTTATTTATTTTTTTTGTGAGCCTGAAATCAAATCCTGCTTTGGATTAATAAAAGCTAAAATTCACTGGTAACACAATGTCTGCTATACATTAATACACACATAATGAAATATGCTCATTCTGTTTTGTTGTTTTGTCAGAAAGCATGATTTTTCATATAAATARAAAAATCGGAATAATGTGTTTGAGGCTCCAGAACTAGAAAAGAATCATTAAATCAGCATTAAATAGTAGTTATAATTTCACATGGAGCTGTCTACAAAGACAGTAAAAATAAAATAATACTACACACTATTAAAATAACATGAAATAATAAAATGTACTTTTTAACCATAACAAAATGCACAAATTACTACATACTATTTTGGGTATTATTTTGTAAGAGAGCTTGTGTTTACAAAATTTAATAGACTTGTTGAATATTTCATCTTAAGGATAGATAGATTTTGCAACTTTTTAATGATGTATATTGTTAGAGAATTTAAAATTGCATGAGTTGTCCTTAAATTTGAACAAAAATAAATCCAGTTAGTAAACAGGATCTTTATAAGACTAACTTGTAAACAACCCATTATTGCTCCAGTCCAACAGTTCAAAAATAGAATAGCACCTGTGCATGAGTATTTATCTTCTCGCTCCTGCATGTATTCATTCATTCATTCATTCATTCATTCATTCATTCATTCATTCATTCATTCATTCATTCATTCATTCATTCATTCATTCATTCATTCATTCATTCATTCAGTGGATTACCCAAAATCTGCCAGTCTACAGGATGGATGCCCAAAGCATCTGTCTTATAAACAGGAGATGCTTGGTTCAAATCCCATCAGTGCATTTTTATTAATTTAAAGTTTTTACAGAGACATTTTCAAATATTTACGTTTTACTCCTTTCAAAACATTTAAGATCTACATTTCGTTAAATGCTGTTTGAGCTTGATACACCCATTTTCTCTTTAGAATAGTACATGTCCTTAAATTATCCATCTTCTTCATCCTTGGTCATCAATGACCTGCTTTGATATGAAGTGCTGTGACTCAGTTGTTCAAAGTGCAGTGCCTTTCAACACTTTGGCTTTGACTTATAACACCTCCAGGGGTGAAACCAGGAAGAGACATACATTATAAGATGAATTCATTATTATAGTAAAAAGAAGTTGTTAGGGTTGTCAGCCCAAGGTCTTACGCTGAGGCCTGTGTGCTGAGTGTTGTACTGTGAACCTGATTTGAGTCAGATGATTGAGAATAAAGTCTTAAGAAGAAATCCACTGGATTCCTGTTTATTCGGATATACCATTTTGAACGACACAATTTCACCTACAAACAAATGCTTTGATCAGCATGCTGTGGCTCAGTTGGTCAAAGTGCCTGTCTAGTAAACAGGAGATCCTGAGTTCAAGTTCCAACAGTGCCTCTCAGCAGTTTCATATACATAAGCAAACCTATGTATGTGTTGTTTTATTTACAGTGATTACCAAAATGCCATGATTACTATGGCAGTCATAACATGGTATTAAGGTGTTTAAAGGGACATTTTCAAACTGGTTTCAGTGGTGATTAGCCTGGCCCTTGTCTTCCAACGCAGTTCCACTCAATTCTAGTTTACCTTCACGGCTCCGTCTTAGATTTCTCCCATAGACAAGGATTTCTTCAGGAGAATTTTCGTCCGGGCCAATCAGAGAACAGAAGGAGGAGTTTTGAATGACAACGTCGATTTTCTGCGCAGTGTCTGCTAGTTAGTTTAGCTATGGCAGTGGAGGAAATGAATGAAGCCAGTCTGTGTTGATAAGGCTTCCAAATTAAATTAAATTTGTCTGACAAAGCAGCAGCTCTCATTTACAGTCATTTCCTTCGGCTCGGTACTTTTCTCCTCTCAGTAGGGTTGTTTACAGTGCACGCAATTTCCGGTTAGCTTCTTAGCTTGCTTAGCCTCTTTCACAGTGGAGCTGGCATATACGTACACATATGTTTTGGCCAACCGATCCAAACATTTTAAACTTCAACAGAGGCCACGCCTCCAGCAAAAATCACTTCTCTATAGCTGAGAGTCCAGACCCTCGTATGAAGCAAAGCGAATGACAAGGGGCTGGTTTTAACCAGGCTAAGTGGTGATAGGCATTGCTGGAATTTAAACTGGGGATCTTCTGTTTGTAAGACAGATGATTTGGCTGTCTAAGCTACAGAGCTTCTGATTACACACACACACACGCACGCACGCACGCACGCACACACACACACACAAAAACATCTTCAGATGCTTAATCATCTGCTTCTGAATGATTGAACACCTTTGCTCCTTAGATATATATATAATATATATAATTTAAGACAAAAAATATTACTCTGACAAGGTCCTGAGAACAGAGAGAGTCAGAGAGGAGCCCGAAACATCCCGTAGATAAAAACGGATGAGGAGGCAAGGGGATGACCAGGAGGCTGCAGRGCAAATATCCTGGACTGATATATACTGTATATATGTCAACGTTTCTTCACAATTAAGATGCTGACACGCATTGCTGAGATTTGAAGCCAGCAGGACTGTTTACAAGACAGGTGCTTTGACCATCTAAGCCAAAGCACCTCACATCAAGGAACAAGGTATTGTCTAAAAACTTGTAGAAAGACAGACCATAGGTAGCCTAGTACAAAAGAAGGTATGAGAAGATATACTCAAAACACAGGTACTATTCTTTTCTAACAAGAATGTGCTTACCCAGTGCAACCAACATTATAAAATGCAAAAGGTAGGCCAAAATTTGTTATAAAAAGTAAAAACATAATTTGAAAAGGTTGATAAGCCACAACACCTTGCATTAAGTGCATGGCATTGTTTTGTTAATTTTTCTTCTGTAGAAAGGCATTAGGTATGTAGGCATTTAAAAAAATGTAGTAAGGGAGTAAAATCTAACTGTCAAGAAGCTACACTTTGACAAAAAACAAACAAAAAAAAAAAAACAAATACATTTGATCCCTCATTGCTCATTAGGCATCTCAAGCTGTTTTTTTTTTTTTCTGTAATCAGAGGCTCTGTAGATTAGACAACCACAGCACCTGCCTTGCAAACAGAAGATCTTTGGTTTGAATTCCAGGTGGAACTTTGACATAAGTGTGGGCTTCCTTCTAAACAGGATATCCTTAGTTCAAAACCCAGCGGTGCCTTAATAGTTAAGGATGTTTTCAAAAAAGAAAGTTTTTACTGCTTTCAAAACAATCTAGGTGTATTTTGAGGTCAGTAAAAAAAAAATTAAGGTATAAAGGTACAGGTACAATCCTGTTTACAAGACACATGCTTTAGTCTTCTAAAAGGTAGTGCCTTTGATCAAAACGACAAAGCATAAAGTCATTTATACTGCTGATCAGCATTGCTGGAATTTAAACACAGCATCTAATAGACAGACACTTCGACCACCTAACCCACTGCACCTTGCAATAGTGAGCATGGCATGGAAAGGCATACATTAGATATTATTTACAAAGAAAGATGGAGTGACAATATAAAAACTCAAAGCACAGGTACTATTAAATAAAAAAGGGTATACCAAGYTGAGTAAACCTTTAACTATTGATTGCTATGGTGGCACTGCTAGGACTTGAACCCAGAATCTCGTTTACTAGACAGGTACTTTGACCAACTAATCCACAGCACCACCTGTTGAAGTACCTGTCATTGTCTCAAATTRTCCTGTAGAAAGGCAGACCATAGCTATTCAAAATAAAGAACGAATGAGAAAATAGGTACTCAAAACACAGATTCTGTTCTCTTCTAATTAGAGAAAATAGCTTTACCCAGCCCAAACAATATTATAAAATACCAAAAGTAGGCCCAAATTAGTTTTGAAAAAAGTAAAAACAACAATTAGAAAAGATTGCTTTAAAAAGGAGACAGCTGGGATTTCTCCTGTTTACAAGACAGAAGATTTGGCCATTTAAGCTACAGTGCCTCTGATTATTGAGAAGAGAGCTTGAGATGTCTATTGGTCAACTTCTGAGCAAAAACGGGTTAAATGTATTTGCTCATTACATGTCAGGTATGCGGTTTGTTGACATTTTTAGCCTTACATCAAGTTCCTGTACTACCTGGTACTTTCTGATGACTTTAAGAACAACTCATGCAGCCATAACATTTCTATCAATGGACTCAGTAAATGAAAGTTTGAAAATGTGTTTTTAACAGCCACATTAGTTGCTATGACTGTGACAACAATCAGTTATGTTTCATGTTTGCAAAGAGTCCAAGTTAAAGTTATGTTGTTGATAGGCACTGCTGGGATTTGAACCCAGGATCTCCTGTTTACAAGACAGGCACTTTGACCATCCACAGCACCTTATTTACATTGTGGAAAAATGCTTTTCTGTAGAAACTTTAAAAATAGAGTGGCCGTGGGAAGATAGAAACACAAAGTGCAAGGTACTATTCTAAAGAGAAAATTGAGCCCCATCTCCCGATGTACTTGTATGCAGTTCGGCTCGGTTCAGCCGCGTGTCTCCATTATGTTCCAAACATGCAAAACCGCACTCTTTCAGTACCTCCTCTCCAGTGGTTCTAAGCAAGTAGAAGGAAGTACAGCAAGCTTATGATTTTGAAAGCAGAATGCTGCTCRTGGATCAGCTCTAGGGCTGATTGACAGAGGAAAGAAGTTACTTGTGCAAACCTCCTCCTCCTGGAGAAAACTGCTTTTGTTTTGGAATACAAGTGCATGGGTTGAGATGCCTAATGATCGGTTTCTGTGTAATAAAGTGTTAAAAGTATTTGATCAATCTCAAGCCTTTAGGTATTCAAAAGAATGAAAGAAAGAAGGAATGGGAGGATAAATACTCAAAGGTACTATTCTTTTCTAATGTGAGAAAATGGGTTTACCCTGTGCAAACATTATTAAATTCCAAATGTAGGCCAAAAATTGTTGTAAAAGAAGTAAAAACTTAAGAATTTGAAAGGGAAGCTTTATAAAGCAGGCACACTTGGGATTTCTTCTGTTTACAAGACAGATGCTTTGCCCATTTAAGCTACAGTGCCTCTGACTGYAGACAAAACAGCTTGAGATGCCTAAGGATCGGCTTCTGTGCAATAAAGTGTATTAAATACTGTACATTTACTCAATATACATGAGGCTTCTTGACATTTTTTATCTAACTGTAATTGGAACTCCCATTTATTGTGCCTGCTTTATAAAGCAACATTTTCAAATTATGTTTTTACTTTTGTAAAACAAATTTTGGCATACTTCTGCATTTTATAACGTTTGCACTGGGTAAGCACATTTTCTCTTATTAGAAAAGAATAGTACCTGTGATCTATCTATCTTCTGATACCTTATTTCTCACCATTGAAAACCTAAGGTCTGTCTTTCTATAGAGGTTTTGAGAAAACTGTTAGCACCCTGGTGCTGTGGCTTAGTTGGTTAAAGCRCCTGTCTTGTAAACAGGAGATCCTGAGTTCAAATCCCAGCAGTGCCTATCAACACTTTGACTTATAGAAGGCTTCTGTAGCGAGGACTCATTCATAAGTCAAGGAAGTTCAAACTTGGAGGGTGTAGAACTGTCAGAGATGCATAATTTCTTGGGAGTCTATCTAGACACAAAACTGGAAAAAGCAAATTCCACCAACTTGTTGTGTGGTCATTAATCTGAAAAGACATGGGAAGGCAGCAATGTGCCTACACCAGTGCCAGAAAATTGCAGGTAGTTGTTGGGGTACTACCCCAAAGGAAGCATAGTCTGCCCTGTGTTATGCTGCTTTAATGTGGTGGGTTCAAGTTGGGGTGACAAGAGTGATGCTCACCCATGTACAACATATGGCCTGCCTGATCATGATAGKTTCCATCAGAATAGCAGCCATGGAAGTCCTACTGGACCTGGCTCCACTAGATGTACATATCTTAGGGGAGCCCGCAGTAAGGCTGCACCAGAATCTGGGACTGGGTAGTTGCTGCTGTTGTGAGAAGGGGGTCTCTGCAGAACATGTTGTCCTGTGACCACTCACGTCTCTTGGGCCACATTAAGCCCTTCGCCAATCACGATTTGGGCTGTCTCCGCCCACTGGACGACATTTTTTGCAGAGACCCCTATATGGCGTTTCCGGTAACTGCAGGACTTGGAGACAGAATTTGTCAAAAAATACAAATTTGAACCAAATTTTAGGACAGAAATTGAAGACAGGTCTGTCCAGAGTAACCTCTCCACGAAGGACATGTCTCCCAATCATTTATACTGTTTTACATATGGATCCATTCTGAAGGGGTCAATAGGTTCAGGGGTGCTGATTTTGCACAACCACAGTGAAAAATGACTCCCTTGTTTTTCTTATTATGAAAGGCTAAAGCATAGTACTGCTGTTAATTTTTGACTGAATAACTTTACAAACACCACCCCATAAAGACTCAGCGTATAACCCAGGTAAATCAAAATTCTCAAAGTCAAAACACCTCTGACGATTTGAGCATCATAGTGTTACTCAAGAACGGTTGTTATTGTTTTATTTCCTAATGAATAACATTACAAAACCTTTTGTAAGATTAAAATGCTTCTCTATAAAGCAATTGCTATTAAGGTTCTTGAACTGCAGTGGGGAAAAACATGTTTAAATGCATATTAACTGCTTAGATTATTACAATAATCATTATTGATACGTTAATGTCATAACAGTACATTATTACATTATAAAATCTAATTGTTTTTCTTAGAATAAAAAAAGACATTGTATCTTTTCTGTCTCAAAGTTCATGGTTCATGGAATGTGTCTTGTTAGAGCTGAATTATGTTTTGATTAAAAACTCCCCCATTTAGCAGCTTCTCTGGCCTCTTTATTCCCATGTGAAGCAGGAGTTATTCACAGCTGTGTGTAAAACAATTGTTTTTACTATTAACAGAACAGCTGAAACTCCACAGAGTATTTTCAGTGGTTTTGATGTTTTTTCTCCTTTTTATCAGCAAAATGTTTCTGAACAATAAATTCYTGTAGTCTAAACTGTATGTCTAAACCACAAATGTCCTTTCAACCATGCATTCTAAAGATTAACTCTTTCCAAGTTATTTTTTTATATTGACCAACATTTAGTGGAGAGGATCAAATTTTTCTACCTGTTTACTTTGTTTTAAACCTGCAGTACGTGAGTTTTATATCAACATTATGAGCTCAGTTTGATGGTTGTGTGACCTCACAAGGGCTGAAAAATGATTGGTCCAAGTAAAACGAGAAGTGCAAAACAGTTTAATTTAACAAAAACACCTGATCATTCCAGTTTAGATTTACAATTTGAACAAAATTAAAAACATTTTTAGTGAAAATCTTGTTTAAATTTAAATAATTGAAATTGCATATACAATCCTACTTCTTTAATGCAAACACAATTACAGGATAAGAAGTATTGCAGGAATGAAAAATAGAAATTAAAAGTGTAAAGTTCAGAAACAATGATTATATCATCCTTAGTGTGTGATTCTGTCRGTACTTCAGATGTCTGTTATCGACACCATGGACACTTCCACTTTGTGTAAACATTTCCACCAGGATCAGATTACTTCAGATCAGTAAGGGTAAAGAAACAACAAACTATAAATGAGAAATAAAGAATATGTAGTTTTCTGATGAACCACATTAACATCTGTCCATTTATTGTGTACAGCTCAGTAAACCTTGCAAGTAAACTCCACTGAAAACTTTACACGCATGAACATTTTTATCAACCTTGATTTAGATTTTACACAAGTTCTTCATAATTATCACCATTATTTTCACCAGTCGGTTCGTTCTGCTCATTGTTTCTGGCTTCTACATCACTATCGGATGCAACACCGGAGGCTTCGTCTTGCATCCGTGACCAGACCTCCTGGATTTTCTTTGGGCACCACACAAACTCCTCTTTAGGAGTGTAATTTTCGTAAGCAAACTTTATGAGTCTTCTACGCTCTTTCTTATCCAGAACAGCAAACAGAAAGTAGTTGAGGACACTTTCTTTGACAGCTGGAAGTTTTCCATGGATGAGAGTCTCTTCCAGGAAGAAGTGGACCAGAGGAGCTTGGTAGAGAGGATATCCCAGGGTTCCCAGGCATTTCAGGATGCGGGTGATGCGCAGATTGTTATGTGTGTGACTAAAGAATAATCAAATTGGATTTAAAAAAAAGGTAAAAAACTGCACTAAGAGTGCGAACCAACCACAAAATATGTTTAAAATATATCCTTAAAACACAAAAAGTAAAAGAAAACGTCTTTATATTTAAGAAACTTGGCATAATACACCRGATGTTACCCATTCTGTCACATAATTGGCATATTTTCTTTTGAACTTGGCTCAGCTAAAGTGAAACAGGAAGTGACATCAAAGAAGAACTGTAAGAAAAAGAACTCCCTGGTTTTTGTTTGACAAAAATAATTTAACTCTGTTCATCTCTGATAGTGACTCAAATTAATCTAAAGAAACATCAGATTCTTCTCTACAATCTGTTGTTAGAAGTAGCAATGCTGTGTTCACATGCAGACATTCCCCTTTGTCATCACTTCCTGTTGCAACTCATGCAAATATATCAAGTGTTCATCTCAGTGGTGTGATTTTTTTTGTGCATTATGTTTTTCAATGCTRCCTTTCAAAAAATGCATTTATATTTATTACAAAAAGTCACCATCACAAGCAATTTAAACTGTGGAGATAGTTTACCTGTTAAGATTGTTGTATCTTTCCTTCCAGTTCGGTGCTCTTTTCACTGCWCCTGTTTTCTCATCTTTCAACGCCATGCCATAGAAATCCAACATGAGCTTGTATGACTGCAGGAGATTATATTTTGCCWGGGAGTTTTGACAAAAATCCTAAAGGAAATGCAGAACTTCAGTTTGAAACTTTAAATCTCACGTTTGTTCAAACTGTTCTCTTTCACCAGGTTACCTGAATTTCTTGTTTTGTCAGTGTGCTGGCCTGATAGTTCATCCCCGGTTCTTGCAGAGGAAACAACCTTTGAAAGAAAACTATAATTACAAGCCAGATCAAAATATTTTACTTTGCCTCTGTAATCAAAGAGAAGCTTACCACTGAATGTAGGTGTGCACAGATTCTAGTTTGGAATAGTTTCCCCACCAAGTGTTGTGGATTTCATCTATGTAGAGACCTGTTAACAAATCCAAGACAAAATACATAAACAGATTTATGATATAAACACCTAAACAGATTAGAATTAAACAGATGTATATATTATAATCATAAAGACTGGGAGAATTCATGCAAAGGTTTACAAAAGCTAAAACATATTTCCTGATAAAGACTGATAAAACAAATCTCATTAACCTGAATGTGCAACTTTAAATAAAAAATACTAGAACGTAAAAAAAGCTTAATAAGCAAAATATTTCCAACATTTTCACTGACTTTATTTTTCTTGTAAACACTGTGAACTCAAGACATTACACGATTTGTCATATGATTCTATTTATTTATGTCAGTGAATTGCTGCAACTTAAAACAACTCTAATATCCAAGATTTCATGCAAATGCCATTTTAGAAATCTCTGTTTAAAATGGTATCTATGACAGGTAAGGTATATTACTTGAATGTTACTTTTCAACAAAGTAATTACTGGACTATCCCTTTAAGCGAAAATGCATAATTTTAGGACACTGGAAAAGCTGGATAAAACCCATACAGCTACAGAGTAGGGTTGGGCAAAATCAAATTGTGCGCAATTAATTTTCTGAAAAACTATTTGCCTCTTTGCAAATAATGCACAGTGCCACATGACTTGTTTTTGTGTGATGCACTCTCACGTGTGGTACGGTGCTATAGAAAAAAATGTGCTGTTCAAAAATGACACGTCTGAATAAGAGCAGGAATCCACTGGATTTCTTCTCAAAACTTTATTCTCATCTGACTCCAGTCAGGTTGATACAGCACAGCATTCAGCACAGGCCTAAGCGTAAGGCCTTGAACTAAAACCCAAACAAAGTCAGCCCAGTCTGGATCTAAACAGAGACTCTGCAAAACACTTTTAATAAACACTTCTAAACTTCTTCTATAATAACGACTTTATAAGCTCTTCAGGCTCTTCCTGGTTACACACCTAAAGGTGTTACCTTTTACGTCAGACGTAGAACATAACCAGGTTTTGTTTATACAGACAGACAGAACACAATGCACACCAACTGGTTTAACCTTATGACTGCAATGATCAGGAAGTATAAAATACAAAAGTGCATCTAACATGCAGTTAATCAGTTACAAAAGTTCCTTCAGTGTGTTACTAAAGATCTGCTGCCACTCCTTATTGGTGAAAAATTGCTTCAATTCACAGCTTACTGTTAACTTGTTAAAATGAAGAAGTTAGTTTGACTGATGGTATATAAGTATAATTTTAGAACACAGTAACTGATTTAGAGTCAAAAACATGAAAGTGTAATTGTCATCTGTTAATCGTGATATTATTCGTTACTGCTTAATGCCACAAATGAATCGTGATTGATTTTTTTTTGCCAATATCACCCAACACAGCACAGAGGAACTCCTCACTGACAGACCCAAGCTGAGTTTCAAACCTGGTCTAAATGTACGAGAACTAAAATATCTTGGATTCCTATTGTCTGATCTGAAATAATATTCAAAGCGAATATAAATGAAAGGCCAAGCATTTATAGAATGCCTATCGCCCACCATCTTTCATGCCTGTGTTTTAAACTAAAAATGTCTCGAGCCGAGAGAAAATGGAAATGCAGCTGTTTTGAGCCAATCTTGTAAATGGAAATATATGTAATCTTGTGAGATTTAACGAGCTGTAACAATGCTCTGAGACCATCCACACAGTAAAATTAGTCATGCCCAGCTCTGGCCCCATACAATGCACTAATACTCTGCCTCAAATGTGGACCATGCATGGGCCAACACAACCCAAACCAAACCACAACTAGGCCACATAAACAAAACCAGAGGTGAACCATGGATGGGCCAGCACCACATAAATCAAACTACAACCAGGCCAGTTATTGCATGCCATCAGTACAATCATTGCCAGACCTGGCCCACATCTGGTTGACATGTGGGTATGTTGAGGATGACTCTCAGCTACTAACACACTACCACACCTGACTTTAGCTATTTGAGCACATAAAGGTAAGTGCTGAACTGCCAGATGTTTAAAAAAACGTAACATTACCCAAAACTGAAAGTCAAGATGTTTGAGAGTCCAATTTCCTTCACCATCACAACGCACTCAAAAAATGGTGGAAAGTTCAGCATTTACCTTTGTATCCTTTCAAGCTGTTCATTGGACTTAAGGTGCTTGAATATCAAATAAAAAAAACTGAAAAAATGAGGGTGTTCAAAAACTTTTGACCAGTTGTGTATTTTGACAAACGTTTTACAAGAATTAACACACATATTCACACATATACACACACACAGGCAAAGACCTTATTGTCTCTCGCCTTCAAAAGCAGGAGATGAACCTTCAGCTCCAACCATTAACTGTTCTGATTTGAAGCTGGACCAGCCTTGTCTCTTTAGGTCCTAATCATTACACAAACATCATACAATGTGTACAGGCCTACCGTCTGGTAAACATGGTGCCTTTCCAAGGTAGAACTGTAAATTGGGCTTCCCATCCTATTGAAGAAAAAAGTAATTCGACTTTAATGCAGTAAAAAGTATACAATTAGTTTAAAGAGGAAAAATTACACAAAATTAACTTTTTTTTACATTTTTTTGCTTCAATTTGAGTCTATTTGTACCAATTGGAGACTCCGCCCATGTTAGTTCTGCTGTTTTTACAACAGTCATGGAGAACAGAGATGCGTGGTTTTATTTTAGTTTGATGGCAATGTTCTAGCAATACTGCCAAAGAGAGTTGTAGTTTGTAAATAATTTCACGATGGACTTCTTTGGAAACTTCAACCAGTACACAGCAGGATTTTCCCAAAGACTTTCTGCTGAAGGAAACTTTTGTCCCTACTGTTCCTCACAAATCTGCAGATGATGGTGGTAAGTTTTAGTTATGAATGATTTTGTGTATTACATCTAATGACAAGGTTTTGTATAGCCCACAGAATGTATCCTAACTTGTTCAAGGAACCATAATAGGTGCTCTTTAAAACACTGACTTGTACTTACAGGTGACTGTTGTTTCCTGGTGTTGATTTGCTGCTGAAGGAAACATTGCATATACAATTAAACCATTACGTTCAGAATTTGAACATAGAACGAGTGTATGTGTGTRTGACTCACTGGATAGTCATGTCTGTAGTTCTGCATGTCCATAGCAGCATTTGTAAACCTGCTGAACTTATACTACAAAAGGAAACATACAGTGGGAAAAATAAGTATTGAACACGTCAACATTTTTCTCAGTAAATATATTACTAGAGGTGCTAATGACATGAAATTTTCACCAGATGTCGGTAACAACCCAAGTGATCCATACATACAAAGAAATCAAACCATACATGTCCAGAAATTAAGTTATTTGCCATTCCAATAATGTGGAATGGCACAGGGAAAAAGTATTTGTCCCTGTGCCATTCCACATT